AAATACTTTTGAATAAAAAGCGTTTATTGGATTGCAATTTGACTTTGTTTAACTGGATCCCAGCTGCTTACAAAACTGAAGAAAAACAAAGGTCATGAGGAGGTTTCTTACTTGTGGTACTTGCACAACTGTTGGTAATTTGTCTCCAGAAAGAGGAACTTGGGGTCTCTTAAGTGGTGGTGAAAGGAAGCTCCTTGGTACTGAATTCGCAGTAGTTAGTAGTGCTGGAGAACTGGCTCCTTGCTTTTTCCTCACCAGTCTGACAGAGCACGTGGGGGTCTCTGAGGAAGTTGCGCGTGTTTAACTGAAAGCTCGGTTTAAAACTTTGTTCCTGTAAAAGCTCAGAGTTGGGAAGATTTGAAGAGAAGTTTCATGTTTTTTCAGTTTAAAAAGGACAGATGGTTTGGGGTTTACAGTCATGTGATCAATTCCAGCTTGCGACTTTGGGTTACTTGGAGTGAGTTCAGCTGCCTGGAGCTGCGTGTGCGCAGAGAGTCACGCCAGCAGTGGAGAGGTGCTTCTGGGAAAAGCTGAAGTGGGAGTTTGGCCACTTGTGAGGGGAGGGCAGGACTCCATCCTGACTTCTCAGCCAGAGAAGCCACAGCTACCGTGAGCCACCAGCTCTGCAGCAGCGTTCGTCACACCCCAGCAGAAGGTGGAGAGAGAAGCTGGGGCCTTCCCTTTCCCGCAGAGAGCCACCATTTTAAGCCCAGGCTATTTTTTTCCCCAAAACAAAGCAGAATTTCCCAGTAAGGATGCAAACTGGTCTTACCATGCCTCTTGTGCAAGGGAAGGGGACAGCAGAGAGTATTGCCGGGGTGCTGAGGGAAAGAGTGCTACCACGTTACCGATTCTGGCTGGCGACAGTGAAGTACAACACCACATGCAGCACATTGGTGTATTGTAGGACAGCCCAACAAGACTCACATGTAGAGCAGTCCCAAGAATTCCCTGTCTTTGAGAGAGGAGCACACGGGCCAGCCCGTCAGGAGAAGGAGTTCTGCTGGTGTTCAGAGCAAGCCTTCACCTGAACAAGACCACAGTTGTTGAGTGGGATGAGTTCAAAGGAGAAAGTCCAGCTTGTACAAGGGAAGAAATGTCAAAGGCTGAATGAAGATGGCAGGGAGGAGTGATTGAGCTAAACAAAGGATGAAAAAGGGCTTTTATATTGAAACAAAGAGTCGGAGCCCCGCTAGAGGAGTAGAACTAAGATGGGTAGGTTGTCCAAAATGTTGAAGCATCATCATGAAAATAGTTTGAGTTTAGGAGGGGTTAAATGCACAAATGATTTGACTGGCGCTTCATCTGGCACAATTTCTTTGATTATTGGATCTGTGCACTTGAAAACAGTATCATTCATATAGCTCACAGTAGCTTTAACATGTGTGTGGGAATGAAGCTAAGTACAAAACAATATACTTTTTTTTTCCTAATTTGGCTCCTCCATCAGCCTCAGTTTCTGAGGTGAGCAGAGGAAAGGCTCTGCATTTGGATACCCAGCTTTTCTTTGTAGCTGCCCTGACTGTGCATTTGCCTCAGGGAGCCAATTATAGGGCAGAAAATAAAGGGCGATCCACTTTTCACGCAGGAATTTCATCCTCCCAGAACTGGTGAGTGTAAGAAGAGCAGATACTAATTTCTCGCTGATAAATGCTTCTCAAAATATGAAGAATGCTGGCCAGCAATACCAGCGCACCTATGAGAGTTGTAGATGTGATTCGTGTGTCTCCAAGGCAGTTTGTTAGGGGAGACCTGCTTCTGGCTTTACACAGTGATCCTTGCCAGAGCCTTGAAACAGCAGGAAGGTGCCCGGGGTGCTGAATGTGGCAGTTGGCTCTAATCAGTACCTTAACGATGCGCTGAAGGAGGGGAAAAGGCTTTTCAATTTAAGTGCTTTCTGTTACTCTATCTAAAAGCACCCTACTAACCAAAATGATGTCATGATAACTGAATAGCCACTCTTCTTCCAGTTGATTAATGCGAGTCCTATAGGAACGCTTCATATTCCTTGTACCAGATGAACACTGGCAAACTGGTAAAATAAAAGTCGCGGGAAGAAGAAAAAGATTCAGTCTCATAAGGCTGTAACACCAAGTAACGTTTAACCAAGTAAGTTTAAATGTAGAGATGGACATGTATCATCTCACTCCTATTTTGTTGCAGAAAGAAAAAAAATCAGTCTCCTTTTTCTCCGTACGTTACTCCTTAGCTGATGACACAAATGTAAGAGGAATAAACATTTTCTAAGATTACATATTACCATTCAACAATGTGATGAGAATATTTCTCCAGCCCAGTAGCTGCTGAACAGCAGAGATTGCTCTCTGTTCCCACCAGTGTAGGCTAAGATCACATATATTTATTTATTTGTAGAGCATATGTTCATACACATTAATTTTCCTGTTTCTTTTTTTTTTTTTTAACTTAAACTGTGGTGGAGTCAGACCCAGTTGCAGACTTTAGGGTGAAACTGATGTTTCGCTACAAAACCACTAAACTCTAGAGAGACAAGACTTCGTTAAGATTCTTAAGTGTCAACAGGAAAAGGCCGCAGAGGAAGGGGATGTGAACAACTTTCCTGGCTTCTTGGCTCAGAAATGGCATTTCTTACTGTTCCGTGCATTACGGAATGAAGGTGTTCTATCCCCTGTCCAAGGTAAGACAGGCTCTCTTGTGAACAGTAACTGAGGTTACTGGTGTTCGGGGGTGGGGAAGGATGAAATTCTTTTTCTCCTCCATCTTTTGGTGCGTGTATGCGCCTGCGCATTTAATGCTGCTCTTCAGGCGGGTGAGCCCCTACAATTAAGAGAGATGTGTCCTTGCCCCATAGCGCTCAATCTGAGGATAACAGGGGATGACAGAAAGAGGTTAGAGGGAAAAGAGGATGATTACAGAAGAAGGGTTCTGAAATGCCTGTTGTTAAATGAGCATTTTGGTGCAAGTCTGGGGAGTGGTTTTTGAAAGAGATGTCATTTGGGCTGAAGGAAGCCTGTGCATTAAGGGAAAAAAAGGTAAACCAGTTTATAATTCACTTAATGATTTAAAAGTCATAAGAAAAGTAACATTTAAAGGCTTCTTAGAATCTTTTTATCATTACACTATTAAAACATGCAGAAGCCTAGTGCATGGGTTTATTTTAGGGCACCAGTACTTCCCAACAGCAACGTATTGCACTTTTCTAGGAAAAAAGCTCTGTGCTTCCTTCAAGCATCGAGCTCTGGCATGTCAGTTGTGATTTTTGTGAACACAAAAACCCCTTGGTTTTATTTTTTGTGACAGGCATGTTGTCCTATTTACATCCCAGAGTGTACAAACAATGAACCGTTCCTTCGAATAGGGTTAACTCAGGAAGAATCTTCCTCTGGTGTGAGTGGGAGAGGATTTGATGAGACAGGAACATGCCCTCTGGCTCTGCAGTGACAGCTGAGGAGGGCGGGAATTCCAGCGAGGAGTGGCACTGCACCCTGAAGAGGCACAAACTGAAGTGGCTGAGGCTGCTGCAGGCACCAGCAGAAGAAAATTTACAGGCAAACCCTCATCGTGGTTCTGGCCCCCAAAGGCAACTCTTTTAAGGTCCATCATTCAGAGTCACCTCTTCCTGGCCGAAAATAGAGCTCATGGCCGTGCGTTCTGTCTGTCGGGAGCTGCAGTAATAGCGGGGTTTCCCTTTGACGTTCAGCAAGAAAAGCAAGGGCTTGGCCTTCCCTGGTTTGGCCGCCTGGAGGGGCTTTGCAGAGGAGGTGAATGGGGAAGTGGCCGGAGGTATCCTACAAGCTGTAAAACATACCAGAGGCTCTTGTACATAGTTTATGACTAGAGGCTAAACTCAGCCTACTGAAGTTAAACTGATTTCTTGGGAGAGCACTACAGCTGGGCTCAGGGCCGTTTTGGCCAAGCAGGGGTATTTAATCCTGGAAAAATAAAGGGGTCCACCAACCAGCTGCGGGCTGGAGCTTGGGTGCTGGGATCGCTGGCTTTGCAGCCTCGGCTTGAGGCAGGGCAGAGGGATGTGGTGGCAGGAAACTCGCCGCATTACCTAATTGACTGTTGTCTGAAACCTGGAACTTGAGGAAAAGAGACACTAACAAAGAGAAGGCCTTACTTGTTTAACGTTTTTAATAATTCAAGGATAATTTAGTATTTTTAAATAATTTAAATGTTCCTCATTGAGGTCTTCAAAGGTACAAGGGGAATCACTACCACCTAAGGACTTGAGCTGTCTATACAGATAATTAATGAACTAATTTTGGCTTTTTGTTAGTCTCATCATCTCTATGATGAGTTTTTTCCTACAAGCTGGGGGAAGAAGCTTCATTCAAGAAATGCTTAAGTTCAGCCATTACATCTAGAGGTACACTCAGACTTTTAAAGAGGAAACTTTAGAAAAGACTTTTTTTTCCACACAGAACTGGTATGTCCTGGAACCTTCTAAAAACTCTGTACTGCACCAGGATTATGGAGATTTCCCACCTCGGGCGTTGCTGCTTCTGAGGATGTGGCAGGTGCGAGCACGAGCTGGACAGGCCACCTCAGCACAGGGACATGTGAATCCCTCTGTCCCGCTCTGCCAGAGGAGAACAGTCTTAACACTTTTACCCTCAGTACTTCTAATGCAGGTCTGAATACAATTGTGAAAAAACATGTCTTTTACTGTCAACACAGTTGACTGAAATAAATGACATAAAAGATCGCTTGTTTTTTCTTCTAGCAAGAAATGGCGAGAGAAGGAAGTCGCAACACAGCAACTCTGCTTCTATAAAAATACTAATTTATTATATAGAACTGGGGAAGGCAGTGTGTTGACTCACGGGCACAATTTGGAGCAGATTCAAAAGTTGTGGCTCGATTTATTATAAACTGACATGGTATTACTACTCAACGCTGCTGAATCAGGCACTGAAAGTCTTTTAAAAGCTGACTAACGGAAGTGTATACAGTGAAAACAGGCTGCTACCCATAAGAAGCAAGCAAACCATCAAAAAAACCCAGAACAGGTAATACCTTTAATATAAGATCACTTTCTTTCCCAAAAAGCAGCAGCATGGTATTACAGGTGTATTATAGGTAAATTAAAGGAACACCATTATGACTGAAGACATCTTCATATACGAAGTAAAATCTCCAAATAATTCACAGTCCATTCCTGTACATTTTAGCTTGTGAAAATACAGTGTAATCAAATAATATATTTTCTGTTCAGCTTGTGTCACTACCACCATTTCTCAAAGAAAACACAGTTTCTAGGAACACCGATGTTAGACAGTAGTTTGGATATAGATTCTATCATTGGAGGTGGACCGCAGATGTACCATAAAGTATCCTTAGATACATGTTTTTCTAGATCCTTCTCAGATATTCTTCCCTCTGACAAAGAAAAAAGGAGGAAATGAGAAAAGGAATATTAATCATAAAGTAACTGCAAAAAGAATGATGGGTTAGAAGTATCTCAAGCACTGATTTCTTAAAAATGCCAGGCCTGTTTAAGGATAATAAGTTTCAAGATTTGAGCCTTCCAAAACTATTTGTTCTTCTGGGGATTTAGATCAGTACCTCTAGTCAAAATGCAGAGGATGTTAGTCCCTGTGGAGGAACATGGATTATATATGACTAAAATCCCACGTTCAGATGAAAAAGATAGCTACCTCTAACACAAATGGAAACGTGATGAAGCATCTCTCTCATGAGCAGTCAGTTTCTCCTTCATCAGTCCCACCTTAAGCAAATACTTTGCTTAATAGTTTCTGGAATAATGTTTGCAGTGGGAAATACCACTATAAAGGTTCCTCTCCAAAGCATGGCATGCACAGTGACATTATTTGGGTTTAACTCACATCTCATTTTGAATCTTGAAATGTAAAAATACTGAAGTATGTGTACAACATCATCCTTTAGGATGTAATCAGACTTAGACTTTAGCTATGATCTCTGTACGTGGCCATTCTGTTTACCTGTAACATGTGGCTGAAGTTCTTTACAGATCTGTGAGCTCTGCTGGGTAACGTGGAAACGACACATGATCTTTCCAGGAAACGCATTCATCAAACTGAGAATATTTTTCTGCAACGTTAAACACACACGCTTACAGCACAGGCCCTTAAGTGAGAGCAGACGCACACACTGGGTCCCAGGACACCGGCGACCGTTACCAAGCACCAAGACCTTTGCTTTTCAGCCCTGAGAACTCGATGGGCTTGACTGGCACACGTGCACAGAACTTCCGCACCTGGAATGTGAACATGCTACCAGCTGTGGTCTTAGTGCTCACCTCCTTTGCAACTGGTTGCAATTTGTAAGATTTGGACCTAAAAACCAGTTGTCCTTTCCTGATCTCTTCCCCATATAAATTCTCATGATTTCCTCTTTCCACTTCCATCTGGGTTTTCCATGTAAAAAAAACCCACAAAACCTGCAGTATGCATTTACCATTTGTTAGGAACTTTTTCAGTCTTGTCTGCTTTACCTGGTATGATTACTGGACCCGTTACTCTCTCACGTCCTCCAGGTAAAATCAACTGTAGTATAATGCTAATGCTATTTTTACCAGAGTAGGGAACTGAAAATTACAGAGTTTCTAAGTCACAACTGTGATAGTTGCTACTGAAAAACCAGCAGATTCAGTTTAAATCATAGTTAAAAAAAAAATAAATTAAAAAATCTGTTGGATGCTGTAATTAGCTCTGAAACTAAGATTTGGTTACTGTCTAGATTCTGTACTATTTGGGGTTTTCACTGCTGGAAGAGACACTGGAAATTCTCTCTTAAAATATTCTGAAATAATAATTTCTATTCTGTGAATAGATAAATCAGCTCATTTTGTTACATGTTGGCTTACTAACTAGTTAGGACACTGAATAGTCAGCCATGGGCTGCTTAAAAAAACCAAACAAACACAACCCAGGCAGATTCTGCTTTCTGATTGCCTGAGAGCAGCACGGGCAGCGCTGCTGTGTGCTAACCCACTGCGAGCTCTGGCGCCGGCTGCTCTCGTGGTTCTGGACGCGACTGTCAACGTCTGTCCCCTTCACATGGAACCACGTATGGTTTGATAGCACTTCTGAAACTGGTCGTGGCCTGGTGTGTTGAAGTCCTAGGGCCAGGGCAGAAAGCATCCCTAAAGGCAGGACTTCACCTGCTTAAATAATCCTGCAGTCCTTCACCTACTTGTAACCTTATCACTGTAATTCACTGGCACGGACACAAAGTGGCAAATATCATACATGTGACATCAGCCACCAAACTACTATTTTCTAGTACACTCAGGGAAGAGACAGGCTCTCTTTTAACTGAATGAAGGAGAATTTCAGCCGCTGAGAGGGCTTGCTGCAGCCCAGTGAGTTTGTGTACACAGTCAGGCACACAGCTGAGCAACACAGACTAAGGGGGAAGACCTATCGCCAGCGGCCCAGCCACACTACGGAAATATGGGTCACGGTTTCCAACCTCACGAGGGCAGGAAGACCCAGCTCACTGGCATCTTGAAGTACCAGAGTTAGTATGTTAGCTTTCATGACTCTAACACTGTATCCTTAAGGCTATTTTAAATTACAAGACTATTTTAAATGACAAGATTTTCAAAAGCACCGCATCTGCCTAAGAAACGAGAGCACGTCCAAAACGAGGGTGAGACCAGTTGCATTATTGTCATCCTTTGTCCCTGTCAGGCTACAGAGAGCTGCTGCTGCTTCAGGGAAGGGGCCTCCAAACCAGTCCCGACCACCCAGCGGTTCCTCACAGGGACTCGTACAGAGGCAGCTCCCAACAGCATAAAGCCTCCACTGACCCTATTTTCTCAATCCTCTGCACAGAAGCAAAGAATTTTCATGTACATGTTCTGGATTTGAGGGACACGTGAAGAATGAAGGGAAGGGATATATTTTAAGCTCTGTGACATATCATTGTGTTCTCCTCCGTCCCAGGAGCTCTAATGCAAAAGCTCTGCTGTCATAACACTGCTGAAGTGAAACTCGGGAACTGCCAGCTCCTACACTGACAAGAATTGTGTGCCCTTAGAACAGACTGGGAGGTTAGGAGTTGGCCAAATACAGGAGTAGGTAAGCTCCAGATTATTATTCTGCTTCTAGCAACAAACAAATGGCTTTTCAAAGAAAGCAAACCTCTTCATATCTAGAAATACGGTAGAAGTACAGAAGAAAAACTAGTGATGGATCCTATATGCAATTTCTAGAATCATGACAGATTTTCATCTTTATCTTACAATCAAAAGCATTCGGTACTTCAAAGAATCCTAAATCATTAGGGATGCTTCTTTACAGAAGCTGTGCTAATTGGATCCTAAAATGTGTTCAGTGACCCTTACTGGCTGAGTTTGACAACTGATCTTTAACTGCTAAGTAAATGTTGATGAAGTACAACACAAGTAATTTCACAAGTGGTTACACATCCTTCACTCATACACTAGTGCCCAATAATAACTAATGTATTATCAATAAAGCTCCCATACTATTTTGGAAAGTATTTCCTTTGGATGTAATTGCTCTTGCTTTGGATATAATTGCTCAATACAATCTATACCGAGACTATGTGCTTACACTATTACAGCATATAGCATTACGCACACTGTTAGTGGGTGTATAACACACATCTATCATAGTATATATAACCTTAAGCACACTATGATGTTCTTGTGAGATTATAGTCAAACGTAACCATTTAGAGCTAACGGACTTAGCAGTGAAGTCACTGAGACGAGGTATGTCCAGTAACGGCCTTAATTTATATACTGGTGTAAGTACTTAACGAAACACATGGAATTGAAGGCAGGAAGTGACTTCTGCCTCTCCTGATGCAGTGTCTTGCACAGACACTGGAATTTGGCAACAAAATGATACTCTAATGCTGAGTATCTGAGATCTATATTTTTTTAAAAAAACAACTTTACCTTAAATAAGAGTTCGCTTGTCTTTTTTGCACTGTAGTACAGCTTCACTGTTCCCATTTTGTATCCATTTCCTTTACCCTCTTGGTATCCATGAAGATCTGCTATATGCAGCAGTATAGAAAACAATGGGTTAATTCCAACACCCCCTGCTATCAGCACTAGTTTTACAGGGGAGTCACCAGGCTGAGGATCAAAGAAGAAATCACCTCCCACTCGAAGAGCCACTTCTGAGTCAAGAGTACACTAGGATGGAAAACAAGATATTTAATTTCAAAACTAAAACCAAAAATTGAAATATTCTTCTTGCACCACAGTCACAAGACTTGCTGGGCTGCATTTTTTTACTTTTATTGACCAGTGAGGGAAAACTGAAGTACTTTAAAATAAATGCACAGTTTCCAGCTAGCAGAGGTGATCTGTTTCAGTGTCTCTAGAGATCTAGTTCTATTCTCAGAAGTCTCAGTCTCCTGATAAGCCAGGATAGTGACTGCCCCTTCCTGCCTCCCTAAGAGCTGAAAGAAGAATGATTCATGCAAGAGTTTTTTGACAGCAGTATGTGGTCGTGAAAACCCAGGATTAACATGTGAGATCACACTTCTACCCAAATCCAGTCTCAAGTCCAAAGAGGCCTGGCTATGAGGTCACAGAAGGAAGTCAAAATGAGTTGCACTGACCCAGAGGGTTTTTCCATCCCCATTCCTAAAAAAATAACAAAACCCCTGAAGTAAAGCAAGTAGCCACAAGAATGTTTTCCTGTGTTTGCTACTTCAGAGTTGCAGAAGAAAAAGCAGGGGAAAACCTTCTCTCTCCTTCATTTGTACATAAGAAATTACTTCTTAAGAGAAATTTGCCTAAGCATTGTTCTTTGATATGTGAAAACCAAATCTGCAACAACAAAAAAGGCACATCTGAGTATTTTCTTGGTAAACTAGTACAGCATCTTGGTATGAAGGTTGAAACAGCAGCACAGAGAAGTCAGGCGAGTTCTCCCACATCACTGCAAGCTAACAGAGCAAATAGGAGCAGAAAAGAGAACTCATTTCAGACCGTATATAGGCTGTGAAAGATAAAACAAAAGGCTTAGGGAAACCAAGGAAGGTGGGGAAAAAAAAGCTACAAGAACTGTTAAAAAATTAGCAGTTAATCACAGAATAAAAATGCTTCCTCCAAAAAACCCTTTTGGTATCAGGAAGCAAAAACTGAACCAAAATTATTTTCATCAATGACAACCATATAGTAAGCAAAGGTCTAAACACCAGGAGGGATCACAGAATGGTTTGGGTTGGAAAGGACCTTAAAGATCATCTAGTTCCAACCCCCCGCACTGGGACGGGACACCTCCCACTAGACCAGGTTGCTCAAAGCCCCGTCCAGCCTGGGCATGTAGCAACAGGACAAGGGGCACTGGTTTTAAACTAGAGCAGGGTAGATTTAGATTAGATATTAGGAAGAAATTCTTTACAATGAGGGTGGCGAAACACTGGCACAGATTGCCGAGAATGGTGGTGGAAGCCCCATCGCTGGAGACATTCAAGGTCAGGCTTGACGGGGTTCTGGGCACCCTGATCTAACTGAAAATGTCCCTGCTCACGGCAGGGGGTTGGAGTAGATGACATTTAGAGGTCCCTTCCAACCCCACACATTCTATGGTTCTATGATTATCTCTTAATTACAGCGTAAGATGATCAGTATTCATAACCTGAAACTAATTTCTCCCTTTTCACTCTACACCACCAAGATTTCCCAACATGTTTTACCCTGTTTTAGAGATGCATGAATTCAGGAGTGTTCCAGATTCATGAGGCAGGAGGAGGACATGGAATATAATATTCTTTGTGGAAATTAGCATTTTTAGGGAGAAACAATCTCATTATCATCTAATCTGCCTCCTTAACCAGCTATAGCTCTTCAAGATTGAACATAGGACACTGGAAGCATCGATTTTAACCAGCAGTCTCCCACCTATTTCAGTGCTTTAGCCATGGCATGGACACCAGAAATCAGCATTCACAAATAAGCCCACAACATTCTGGTGTAATACAGTGACAAAGTGTTGTCCTTTAGCCTAGTTTGTAAATACAGCATTGAAACAGCTTCTGCACAGAAATGAAGCAATCGATACATACACATTTTTCTAAAGAAAAGGCTGTGTTTTGCTAAAGCTACAGATCACACTGTGCTCAGATGGTCCGCTGGCACATGCACTGCAAGTTCTACACACATGTCAAGAGGGTTATTTTGTTTATGTTCCAATGGAGATAACTTGATACGACACCAATTAAAATACCATGGATGGTCACATGCTAACTACTAGATTAGCATCATTTTGCATATTCCCAATTCTTGCAAATCTGCATCAGTCTTTACCGTAACTGTTGGCCACTGAACAAAACTGCACTATTTGTAAACCTAGAAGAATCTGTCAATTTAAACTTTGCAGCCACGTTGCAGCCACCAGGCAGAGAGTAACAAATAGGATGGATCACTGGGGGTTGTGAAAAGAAGTTGATAGGACAGATGATTTATGAAATATGATCAGCAGCAGAAATGGGAATTTTCTGACTATAACTAAAACGGGGCAAATGGATGAACAAAACACTACAAGAGGCCAAAGTGTCAGCCGTCATTCTTAATGCAGCAAAAATGGTGATGTCGTTATTAAAAAAATATTGCACATTTAAAAGAATACTGCAGAAATTCTAAAGTATTCTAAATTCTAAAGTATTCTATTGTTTTATCATTTCAGGAAAACTGATCTAAATATCTCCATTTGCTCCCCCTCAATAATCTAGACTTACATTTATCTGACAATGATTCTCAGTTTATATTTGTAGAAATGGCCAGGAATGATATAGCAGGTTCTCAGGTGTAACTTGGTAATGTGCAACACAGCCTGTTCACAGGGACACAAGATACAACAGGGGCTTTTCAACATTTTTCAGTTCATATTCCAAAGCAATGAGAATCCTTACATGAACCAGATACAATATCACTGTAAGTCCACCAAGCTCGAGTGGAGTCAGAAGACCACAATACCCGTATTGCCACCTAAACATCAATTTCAGAGCCTTACTGCACAAAAGGTCTTAAGATTTACATTGTACTAAAAATGGCTGAACAATTCAACAGCAGTTTTGCACTCAACAGCAAAAAGTGGTCTGAGATCACACACATCACCCTCTTCTACCTCCTCAACACAGAGAAAAATAAAAACCAAAACATAGATCTCACAGTTAATGTCATTTACCTCAGTGTGAATCCAGTGAGCAGGAGGATGAGCAGTGTGCTTAACTGCCAGCTCTAGGATTCTTTCTCTTTCCAGCAGGCCAGGGCTTGAACATATTGAGAATCCCCCAACTACAGATACTCCAGGAATAAAGAAATCAACCCTAAAAATAAACCAGAAACAAAAAGTTTTTTAAAAATCCCAGCAACCCCAAACATGGAAAGTGATAACCAAAACAGCTGTCTTTGTGTCAATTGTTCCTCCTTTACAAAGACATCTTCATTTTTATGACACAACTTTTCCAGAAAAGGACTTAATCTTGAGTAGAATTATTTTCATCTAGAAACGTGCCACTTTTGTTAAACTACAAGTTTTTTAGGCCAGTCAGTTTTTAGACATTTTACTACAGACTAGAATTTGGAGTGTTTAAATAAATTATTTACGTATTAAAAACACAATATGGTCTGATAGAGTGGCTTAAATCCCATTCTTTTTGGTCCCTTTGATGGGCTCTTCAATTTTCAAATATAAGAAGATTGGGAAACTAATTTTAGAGAAGTGACTTTCGATTAAATCCTTTCTTTTCCTGAGAAGATGAAATATCTAAAGTAAATCCAAAATCTGTAAAAAATTTCTCCTGTGAACTAGAGGCAGATACTGCTTTACCTCTGGAACTGCAGTGCCCTCTGGTGGCAGATACCACTTCCTAGCTGAGATGAACTTGAATTGCTACAATTTTTTTAAACTTAAACGACACATGGGTTTCTACAGATTAGAAGGTAACACATGGCTAAGCTTTTGCAACACCAGGAGTATGGAAGGCAAGCCGTTACTACACATCAGCTACATTTTTGTAAAAGTAAGGCTTTGATACTCCAAATAGTATCAGAAAAAGAAATGGACTTATGATCTAACATTTAAACTCCTCTGTGTTGCATTAAGCTTTAAATATTTCAAATTTCCATGGCACACAATAAAATCCCTGTATTCCAGAAGAAAACTACTGTTTAAAACTAATTGTGCTGTTCCCCTTAGGAAGTAACTATAGCGGTAAGCAATGTCAGGTATTTAACTCAAGCCTGACTTAGGCTGGCTCAGCATTAGTCCAGTGAGAATGCAACAAGAAATACAGACTGGCTTCCACTGCAGATAGTCTCTTTAAACAGCAAGGTCGTATTCTTCACAAACATCACAAAATATTGAGGGATAAGCACTTGGAATGGTTCGATATTTTTCAAAGAAAAAACCTTGCCTGCTTACTTCCCACAAAGCTTCACCCTTGAAGGAAAAATATGCCCTCTTTCTCTTGAAGTCATATATACAATGCTATAGTGATATAATTTCTAACTTTATGCTAACAAACGTAATGGTGTACAAAGGTATCTAACTGCAAATGAAAGGCCAACAACCAAAAAAAGTTGAGAGGGCTTATTTCACTGTCCTCAGCTCCTGCAGCCCCACGGACCCCAGGACTCACCTCTCCTGGCAGTAAGGACCTCAGAGATCAGAGACAAGGACTCTTGTAATGCAGCATTTATTGTAGCAAAGAACACCTCAAGGCACTACTAAAGCTCTTTACCACCCTCTGGTGGAAAATAACCTTACAACTTACATTAACAACAAAAATAATATTACATTTATGCTGTGTAGTAACAATCACATTCAAGTCAAATTGTTCTCCTTGACGCAGAAGGGAAACATTTGCTCCTGGTGGGGAAACATACATACAAACCCAAACTCAATCAAATGTAGGTTTTACCCTTCTAAAGTACTAACGTAGGCATTCCCTTCTTTCTGTGTTAGTATTTCTTTCCCAATTATGAGAGATTTCAGGCCACAGTATACTGTTATAGTGGACTGGTTTATATTTCTGATGGCTTGGTCAGCTGTGCGTAAGGGGACTCCTGAAGAAATGCCATCTGCAACAGACTAAGCAGAAGGGGCAGTTTTAGGGGAAAGAAAAGTAGATAACCACCAAAAGAAACTCACAACAAGGAGAGGTGTAAAAAGATGTAAACGAGACATCTTAAGGTGGTTTTTCATTTCCCTCCTTTTAAAGGCTACCTAAGCCAAATCTTCAAGAAAAGAACAATTAGCAATTGCTGGAGGAAGGGATCAGGAACATTAAAACCATAAAGCTACTTCTTCAAAGTATTTCTAACATTCATAAACCTCAATGCACAAGTAACAGCAACAAGTCTCTTCGTTATTAATTGAAGTCAGAGAAAGGCCAGTATCTGCCAGCATGCTTGCAAAACAAATTTTTGCTTCTGAAAAACGTGATAATTAGAGCACTTTCAAAAAACATATACATTTTAGTGGCAGTCTTTGGCTGTAACATCTTACTAGAGCAAATTCTAACAAGTTAGCCTTTTCTATTCAGGAAATTGAGGCCTGGTGTTTTGTATTACTCATCAAAAAAATGCAACCAGTTTATAGCTACAAGAAGAGAAAAGTTGTTGTATACCTTACAATAGCATTAGAATACTTCCAAGGAAGAAGAAAATGAAGAAGAGTAATTATAATTAAAGCTTTCAGTTTTCAGCATGATAATTTCTAAAACATTTTTGGAGGGTAAATGCACTTTCCAAGTACTGGCAAGCAAGAATTCCATATGAGTCACTGCACATGTGCAAAAACTGCAGCAAATTACTCCACAAACAAATTATTGCAATCAGCATCTTGTGTTCTGGTTCTAAATTTAAAAGCCAGCGTATTAACACTACATGAGTAACATACGCTGTTAATACCGTAGCAGCTATACTTTGATTCCAGCAAAACCGCTTTCAGATGGCCTAAGCCAATAAAAAGTTTAAGAACATTTAAATGCCCAATGCCAAAAGCAACTACTCAGAGATTTAAACTAATTTGTAAGAGGAAAAATAAAACAGTGATTGAGTTGAAGTATTTTTAACAAGGAAGGTAGACAAGCATGAAAATTCACTAGTTCCCTGGGAAAAAAAGCTGTAAGGTTGCTTAAACAACCAACTAATTATTTCAAAAGCTTAATAACGCAATGTTTTTTGTTATTTTCATGTTTGCGTATCTATATTTATATATTAATCTGACTTAACAGGATTAATTTTCAGAGTGGAAACTTAGAGAGGAAGAAATAACAGTTAACATGTAATTCTGATTTAATTATAAACTAAAAATAAGTAACTTGCAAATCAGCAGTCTTGTCTCCAGTGTAACCAAAAAAGTAAATAAAGACAGTAAAGACAGGCTGCGGAATAAAGTGCGGTGTACTTCAAAGTACTCCTGAGGAAACAATGTAGTATACATAAACCAGAGGAAAATACAGAAATGATCAAACTACATTTAAAGAATACCCATTCTTGCCCTTTAAAAATTAATATTAGTATATTTAATAATGGCTATTTTAAATTCATCCCAAATATCAGCTATTTGACAGAGCACCCAATAATAAAATATCACATGATGTAAAATAACTTTTTTTCCCAAGGCTCAAGTATCAGAGTCCTTTTAACATCTCCTTGCAGTGCACTTGTGGTAGTAATTTTCCCCTCAAATACCAGAAGATCTTACCACTGTCCTGCTTTGAAAGTAAAATCTTTATTTGCAATAGCCAGACGAAGTCTTTTGACTGTCTCAGATTCGTTGGTGATTCCACACACTTTTGCTTGTGAAATTACCTACAAAAGGAAAAGAGATGTTTGTTATGTTATGTTATGTTATGTTATGTTATGTTATGTTATGTTATGTTATGTTATGTTATGCTATGCAGAGATCATTTGCAGCAAAAGCACTCGAGAATCTGTGTACAAGACACCTATGGCTTCGCATGTCATCTGTGGTATTTTATTACCTAAAGCAGCAATATCTTTTTCACTGGGGTAGAGAAACAAAAATGAATTCACTCACATAGTCACTGAATGGGGAAATGGCTTTCTACTTACAGTCCACCTTGCCTGTCACTGTTTGTTGGAATTGTATTTCAGTTGAAGGGAACATAACAGTTGCTGGTTACCACTTTTCAGATTCTTTCAACATCTCTACATGGCAAATACTCCTGTATCTTTCAGCAACAAAGTAAAAAGATCTCTGATACAAAGACCCACAAAGGAAACTCCTAAAAGATCAGCTGCTCTTGATGTCCCAGGGAGAATTCTGGATCTGTTCTATTTAAGTAATTAAATGCATTACTGAAAGATTATGCATTAATGCATAAGGCATTAATGAAAAGAAACCAACAAGCCTTGTGTTACTGCTTTTAGGCACGTACCCATCTGACCACATCCGTGATCTATGAGCACAGGGAAACTGCACCACCAGCATTCACTGCCAGTTAACAGAAAACATTTTTGTTTGGCAGCCAGATGGGAGGGGATGTTAGAGCTATAGTTGATACCCCTTGTAAAGAGAATTTAAAAAAAGATATAAAAAATAAACAATACTTTTCTAAATAAAAAGCACATTTTGCAACAGGACCATTGGGGAGGAGGTTTCCACTTAAACTTCTCCATGTCTATCGGTACAATGTGGATTTTCATTCTCTCTCCTCCCTGCCCTTGCTCTTCATGTATTTCTGACGTATAATTTTTAACCTTTCTCCCCTACAAAGAAAATATATGAGGCATTTCTTTCTACACAGGCCAATATACAGATTTTACTGTGTTAAAAATGCTGATGTCATTCACCACACTAGGAAATACTAATAATCCCACCACAACTCTACCATTTCTCATTTGTGTAAGATCAAACAGATAAAAAAAAATTAAAAACTTTAAGCGACTATGCTCTAATTTAAAACACATGTCAGGAAATTAATTTATTCATAAAGCAACGACTGAACACGTCCACTGTCCCATTAAACAGCAGGACATTTGCCAATTTAAAATAAAGTAGCGTACACTTCTTTTCAGCTTTAGCTGACAATATTGGAAATGCAATCTCTCTTAAGTTAACAACAGAAATGTCAGACACATGAGTTAAATAGTTGTTCTGATGGAAAAACCTTAAGTGCAGGAAATGGACATTAAGTTTGGACCTTCTTCATTCCCTTCTTTTCAGCACACTCCCTAACTTGTTCTTCTCTTCATACATCTGACAGAGTACTGAACATTTAATTCTTAATCTGTGTGAAGTTAGTACAAAACTAGAATTTGAGTCAGGGAGATCACAGACATTCAGCTGGTTTTTTGGACCATCACTAGAGTATCCAGCTGACCCAGAGCAAGGCTGCAGTGAGAGGGAGGAGGACACAGGACTCCTGCTTTGCCCCTGTATTTCCAGACAGTGTTAGGCACTTTTTCTTGCCCTGGTCCTTCCCCTGGCCACTCTTCAACAGGCGATGGATGTTGTGGAGCACGCACACTAACGCAACACAGACCTACGATTCTTTCATCTTTCTACAGGACTGAAATGGCCAAATAAGGCAACACAGACTGAGGGAAGCCAACTGCTGATCAGACGGAATTTAAACCAAGCCATGGATTTAAAATAAACTGATTTTAAAGTGGTCAGAAATCAAGTAACAAAGAATAAATCAAACATTAAAAAAAAGAAACAGCTTAATCCTCTGATATGCAGAGAATTTACAGTAGCAAGGACTGAGCCTCGCTCTTTCACGTCTCCCATACAGCTTCCTTCTCTTCCTCAGGCCTTAACAGAGTTCCATGTCTTATAACAATATCAAATATGAAAAATGAGAAGAAGTAAAACAGACTCTAGTAGAAGACAAAATTCAGTCTAAGAATCAAATACAATTATCCAGTTTCTTGACACACAAAAAAAAACCAACCAAAAAAACCAAACATCCTAAAGAACAGAACACCAACCTCCTGGCGAAAATTATTTGCTGTCCTCTCTAGATGATCCATTTTCCTTTTTGATTTTATTGTGCTGCAACAAAAAGAAAAGATAATTGTCCTTTTAACAGCTGTGCTACTGTCCCTTACTGATACGAATTTCTATTAACATAACAATTTACCAGTGTAATCCAGACAACAGATGACTTAAGCCTAAATAAGAATCAAATATAAATACATGATTGGGAGCTAAATAAGTATTTATAGATCTGTAAGAATTTGTCAGCTTCAGTTTGACAGTGTTACTATGACATTATCTTTAAAAAAAAAAAAAAAAGTTTTTATATGTGGCTAACCTACCCGTTTGCTGTGCAGTAACAAAAAGCAGAGTGCCTCAAACCCACCGATGCAGAAGGAGTGGGAAATATTCTGCTCGCACCTCTCAGTAATTGAGAAAGAGTAAATCCCACACAAACAGTAGCATGAGCCATGATGACTGGGCCGTCTGCAGAATCACCAGCTCCTGAAAAATCCATATAAATATTTGCTAAAGAAAACAGTCACTGCTTGACACGTCTTGCTCCCACCCTTTATTTCTCTTAAATCAGAAAGGCCAAAGCTCAGCTGGAGCTAAAACTAGCAATAGACATATAAGGTAGCAAGAAGGAATTTTAAAAGCATGAAAGTATCATAAAGTTCAGTGAAAATGTGCATCCATCGACTGAAGGGGAAAACTACCTTGTCACAAATGATATGGAAAAGGCAGAAGCACTCAACACCTTTATTGCCTTAGATGACACAGGCACAGTCCAGACCTCGGCGTCTACCAGTCGCGTCTGGGAAGAGGGATAAGTAGGAGTGGGGCCAGCAAATGCTGAGAGAAGCTGGATGGTCTCAAGCACACCGAGCCAGAGGGGTGACACTCAGGGTTGCTAAGAGACACAGCTGACATGCTTGTGAGGCAACTGCCTGTTACCTACAAAAACCAATTATTGGACAAAGTCTTCAGTTGACTAGAAATAAAGACTAATGCATGGTCATTTTTAAAAGAGGCAGCCATAAGCACTTAGGTCCAGTCAGCACCACTTCAGTCTCTAGAATAAACTGCTCAGAGCTTGTCCCCTTCCCCGTGTGAAAGCTAAGAAAGTAATTAGGGAGACTGAACACAGATTTACCAAGGACAAAATACGTTTGATAAATTTTAATGCCTACTGTGATGAAACATCTGGTCATGCAGCTGAGAGGACAGCAGTGGGTACAATACACCCTGACTGTCCTGTGGCTTTTGGCATCGCCCCCCATAGCACACACACTGGGAAGCTGAGGCCAGGTGGCCTGCTGGAGTGGTTGAAGACTTGATGGCTTCAAGTTGTTTGAGCTGCAGGCTAGTAACAGCAGGAGTACCCTGGGGTTGCTATTGGGGCTGATACAGTTTGATAAATTTATCACTAACTTGGATGATGAGACAGAAGGTACCATCAGCAAACTTGTGCATTATACTAAATGAGAGGGATGGGTGACATGCTGACTGGGAGTGCTTCACTAAAAAAGAGACTGAGAAACACCAGGAATGGAAACCTGAAATCTCATGGACTTAAAGAAGTACAAAGGTCTACAGCTAGGACCAGCTTAATCCAATGCTAGCAACAGTCCTGCTCCAAGCAGGAGCTTGGACAAGATGACCCTCCGACTACGACTAGAAGTCCCTCCCAACCAACATATCTGTGATTTTAAATGCTCAAGCAGTGTTGATGTTTGCAAGAAGACCAAACGCTGAACATGCTGTCCCTTTCTACTGGTAAAGAAAGGGTTCTGGTTGGAAAATTTTGTAGCCATTAAATAAAACTGTTTGTTTACAGGGTTATTTAAAGCCACATAGACCCCTCATACTTCCATACATCCTACCTACTACTTACATCTCTGGGCAGTTAAACAAGTAGCAGACACTCACAGGCACTACATGGTGTGAAGCTTCAAAACCACAGGCTCGAATGGAGCTATGGCAGAGCGAGAGAAACTGACACGTACAATATTCAAAATAAGTCAGAAATGCACTTCATTTACAAAGTGTAGGAACAGGTTCACAGTGAGCCAAGAGGTATTCCTCCTTACTGATAAATCCACCTTTGTCTTTCCTAAAATGGATTGATGCAACTCCCTGTCATGCTATCATCACCTATCAAATTATATTATTTCTATGATGCAGTCCATTGCTTTTTGAAAGCATTCTTAATCTTTTACTTACATTTACATCTCCTCCATTCTTTTAAGGCACGCAATTTATTTTCAAAATGGTTTTGCTTTTTATTTTGAATCCTTTGAAATGGCAACAACCCAGCTTGTTTAACTAATCAAGCCTAGACTCTCTAGGCTTTCACAGACAGCTGCATTGGCTGGTCACTTGGCAATCTGTCCTGTTTGTATTCTTGTACCAACGGGAAGCAGAGCTTTTATAAATTAGGCTGATGAGAAATGGAATACATTTACTGTAACTACTCAAAATGCCCGGTTTCGAGCGTAAGAAATACCTCCTGCAGCTTTTAGCCATCTGTAATTTTAAATAGCTTCTTAGAATTTAATTCCACAGCAGCTTGCAACTTTTCAAACTGGAATTCTTTAAAACTCTTGTACCATCAGTGAGCAATTTTTTGCTACATTGTACACAGAGTACTCCATTTAAACAAAATACTTCAGCACTAGAAGGTAATGATAACAAAAGTGTTAACTATCTTAAAATAATATAGGAAGATGAAGTAACACACCTAATAAATCAGTCACATTCTTCTACCTCAGCATGTTCAGTCTGTAAACTCAGAATGCTCAAAAATCATTGCATTATTCAAATTTATGAGGTCATGTAATGATGCGGAGTCTTTTGGATAGTGTATGTTAGTTATAATCATCTACAGTCCCTTCTTTAGGCTTCTTGCTTTTTTATACATGTTTTCAAGCTTTTCACTCTACCACATTAACTAAATCAAAGTGACAATGAAGGCTGTTTGAAAGTGGACATGCTTATGTAAGCTGTTTTTTCCAGTAGCTGACTTTAAATCACCACAACATCCAAATGAACCACATAAAGTCTGATACTTTGCTTCAGAGGCCAAGGACTGAGAACAAAGATTTAATATTTTTTAGGTTTGGGGTTTTTTTTCCAAAATCGCTTCACCTCCTTCAAAACGGTTTCTGCCATGAATTGCCACTAAGCACAGCGACACCTGCTGGTAAAACAAGTGTCCTCACTTTTAAATCAAAGATTCTCAACTGTTTATTTTACTAACTTGGTTTAATTCTGCTGCTAAGGTTGACAATCATAGCCGGTATCGTTCTTATTTTCATTGCTACCACTTTAGAAAGCAAATACGGTCAGTTCTGAAAATGTAAATAAACAACCAACCACCCAAAAATTCTGTATCAATACATAATACTGGAAGTAAACGTCAGCTTTATTTTAGTGTAGCAGCTACAACTTTGAAGTGAGAGCTGAAAGATCCTATTAATACAAACTATCTTACAACTGAGACTCTACGCCAAGTCAAAAACAACTCTCAAATGGCAGTTCAAGATACTTGTTCCATTTACACCATCATCAACCACTTTCCAATCCCAAAAATCACAATAAAAATCAGCTGTTATTCCTACTCTGTAATAAATTCCAAAATCTCTTTTAATGAGTCCTGGTTCACTTCTACCACACATAAGCCTTTAAAAAAATGTGAGCAGCATCTCTGCCATCTGTCATCTCTGCGACTTTCTTGTCTCACCCAGCGCTCTGGCAGTTCCTTGCCCTCCGAGAATCATAGAATCACAGAAGAATTCAGGTTGGAAAAGACCCTTGGG